CAGATTAAGTCTTCCATCTCATTTTTTAGGTTCAAGCAGCTCTCTATATCGTGACCCATGTCATAATGGAAGTGGCAGTACTTGTCGGGGTTTCAGGTGGCTAGGTCGCCCTTCATCCTAGGCGGCCACTTTACATAGTTGTTTGACTTTATTTGCTTAAGTATTTCTCCCCTTTTTGTATTTAGGGGAGTGAAGGTTTTATTGTATAGAGGTGGGGTTCCAGATCACTGGTTTGAGCCCCGTTGGGGTGACTTACTTTTTCTTCTAGGCGAGCTGCTTCGCCTGCTTCTTGGTGATCTGCTTCTTTTTGGAGACTTACTCCTGTTCTTTGATTTGTTGCTACATACTTCTTCTTCAGCTCACTTCATTTTCCTGAATAGTTTGAACTGCGACCTTAGGGCTTCTTATGCCTTGATGAACTTGTCTACCACTATGAGGAATTTCTCCTTAGTCGTCGGAGGGTTCAACTTGATCTCCCAGCATAGGTCAGGATGACGCACGTTGTTTTTGGCCATGGTGAGTTGTACGACTGGGTCTAGATTAGGAATTTGCAAGCGTTCCATGTTGAACCTTTTTATATATTCTTAGAGCATTTCATTAGATTTTTCAATTACATTGAGTAAGCAGGTCGCAGACTTTGAATGTCTCTTACTTGTTGCGAACTGGTTGATGAATAGGCGGGCGAATTGGTTCCAATTTTTTATGGAGCCAGGGGCTAGCCTTGAGTACTAGAGCCAAACTTCTTCTTTAAGGGTGGTTCGGAAGGCGATGCACATGCTTGCATCATTAGCCCCATGAAGCAACATTAGGGCTTGAAAGTTATCAGCGTGCTCAATTGGATCGGTCGCACCCTTGTAGGTCTCAAGGGCAGGTGCTTTGAAGTTTTTTGGCCTCGGGGCCTAGAGGATCTCTGGTGCCAATGGAGATTCTCGAGTTAGGAGTGGCTGCTCGGATAAAGCGCCTACTTGGCTCATTGCCTTGCTATCTGCCCTTTTTTGCGTCACTTTCCTTGCTAGAGTGAAGTGATTTTTATTTGTGGCCCGGTGTGCATGTCTCCTGCGCCTTCTCTTGGACCCCTTAGACAAGCTTCTATTCCGATGGGAGCTGTATCTCGGCTTTCCACTGGTAGTAGGTTCTGATTGTGGCCGGGGACTATGTTGTCAACCTGAGGTTGGTTATTAACAGGCTCAGGTGCTTTGTTGGAGACCTAGACTTGACTGTGGACCCGGGTTGGGGTTACCAATCTGATTCAATTCGGCATTCTGCTAAGGTAACTGTTGGAGTGGCACCTGCTAGTTCTGTTGGTGGCGAGGTTGGTGTTGTTGTTGTTGTTGTTGCCCCCCCCTGTCGCCATGAAGGTAAACTTGCTTTCGCAAAACTTGAGCTAGTTGCTCATTCCCCGTACGCATTGCACCAGATCGTAGAACTAGCACGCATCAACTGCCGCATGAGCCATTGCGGGCTCGACCGTAGGAGGAGGTGCATTCACATTATTTGGTATGGCGGTCAGGTGCAGAAGGACATCTATTTCTCCAATGGTCATAGTAGGGATTTGGTTATTGTTGGCGGGCTGGTTGCTAGATGATTCCATTAGTTCTTAAGGTTTTCTAAAATTAAGACAAATACTTATCTGTTTGTAACAAGTTCCCACAGACGACGCCAATTGATATTGTGCGATCTGCCTGCTCCCTCGTGTTAGGTGACTCGGATGCTGATTCGAAAGATTCCTTGTCAGGGCCGAGCTATGCTGGGCCGAGCTGATGTGTTTCTGCAAGAGAGAATGTTAGAGTGCCTGGGTTGTGTTTACCTAGGGGTGGGCACTCTAATGCTTAAGAGTATGTAATCGCGCGTACCTTCTCAGGTAGAAATGAGTGTCTTATATAGGTATTAGTGGTCAGAGCCCTCATACAACGGGTCTCCTCTTCTCGCGTTACCGTTTTTGCTTAGTTGGGCATATTAAGATGCCGATTACAAGATCTACGCGGAGGTTACGAACTGCCTGAACAACTCTAAGGCGTGCAATGCGGTAGGTCAGTCTAATTGTTGAGGTATTAACGTCCTGGAGATTTCGGGCTGGTAACACATTATCGGTCTAAGTTAGCAGGCTCTCCTTGCAGGTTGCTGCAGATTCCTACAGTTTGGTCGGTCTCTAAGACAGGTCGCTGTGAGCTAGGGAGCCTGTCAATTCGGCCCGACCGAGGTAGAGGTCGGCCTAGGCAAGGTCCTCCAGGCTAACTTGTTGAGTTAGTTTACTTACTCAACGCTGAGGTGTTACTTGAAGGCCATGTGTCGCGAGGTGATTTGGATGACCAAATTACCCCTCACCAATAACTCATGTTTTCATGCGGGTCCAACTTTAAACATCAAAAGTCATGTCCCAAAAGCCCTCCCAAATGGGCACTTAGAGCATTGAGATCAGATTTGTGCCTGTCTAGTTCAAAAAAACATTCATAACGCCCATATTCAGGATGAGATCAGATTTCGTCCTCACACTGTCCTCACAGCACCTTTAGTTGTGCATTAAAAGCATCTCCATGCTTGTATATTTTCATTCATCAGAAGGTGTTACTAATGCACGGTTGAAAGAATTGCGAGGACAGTGCGAGAACGAAATTTGTGAGAACGAAATCTGGATTCATTCAAAATCTATTGTGCTTTTCTTCCTGCACAGCTGCACTTTTGCACTATGCAATCAGTGAAACCAGTGGATGACAAAAATTTCATTATCCTAATTCCTAAACACCTGTTTTATACAGATTGTAAGATAAAAAAGTGCAGCAGATCTTACTAGAGTGTAGAGTCTGGATGTATTAATAACAAACTGATAACCCGATAGCTGAGATGGTCACTCAGCAGAGTCAGCACCACTTCGAATATGAAAGTGAAGGATCAAACCCACGTAACCTAGGATTTTCGTGGGAAGGTCAATGATCATTCATGCCCGCTGGTCTGATCCATCCGTAGTGAATTTATATTGGAATGGGTCGGATTGAACCAATATCCAAGTCATTGATAAAGGATAAGAAAACAAATGTCAATGGATGAGGTTTGGGTTGGAACGAATTTAAATTAAAACTAAATTAAACAGATTAGATGATCTAGACGTTGAATTGAATTGATCCTATATAGTTCAAAATATATATTGGACTCATTGGATCGGATAAGATTGGAACAAATCCGGTCTAATTAACAACCCTACTCCACGTACTAGAGAGAAGACAACTGACAAACTAACCCCAACAAGAGGGCATCAGTCGATTCTCCCTTGACCAAACGATTCTTACTAGCCAAAAAATGAGAAATCATATTTCCCTGCCAATGAAACTCCTTAATATCATCCATAATAGACCAAATGGCCCCATATCCAAGGTTCAAATTTCAAAGCATCAATACGTTTCTGAGGTTACTCATAGATGAAATATACAAGTACTTTGAACTTTAGGCTATATCTCAGCTGGAATCAACGATGAGACAGACTTAATAGCATAATTTGATTCGATAATCATAAGAATGTAAAATGGCATACAATACGTCAATACCTAGACATTGAATAACGTTTGTGGCAGTATTCTTATGCATGGAACTGTATTGGTCGATGCGTATCATATTGAAAACCTAGGGATGTTTCGGGAGGTTTAACTTGATTCGGGGATAAAAGGGCTTTAGACCGACCCCTCTGAACCAGATTCACAAAGGAAAAAAAAATAATAATAAAAGATGAGCAAGAGTCAATACACCCTTATCAACGTATCAGACTGTATCGATATTTTAAACCTTGAACGTGAGATGAGATTAACATTTTCAGCAGATGGATAAACAATTTACCCTCTAAGAGGGTACTGATGGTAATCAATAATCTCCATAAAATTGACTTATCATGGGACCCATTATAGTGGTGTAAGAATATGGGGAAGTTGGTCAAATTAATTGGTTAACCAATTTACCCGATGAGATACTGATAAAAGAATGGGGCCTTTCACATAGTGGTTATATTTTACAAAAAGGCCAAAATACATGCACTCCTACATCTGAAATCAAATTGATATTTTTCTACTAGAGCCATGTTTGGGAGTTCTCAAAATGAAGTGCTTATTTGGGTAGGGACCACACCACTAAGCACTTATTAGTGTTTGGAAAATAAGCCTAAAATAAATGCTTATTTTAAAAATAAGGACCTATTTTTTAAGCCCAAACTTCTATCTCTTTTTAAGTGCTCATACAATTAGCACTTATTCAAATTTTTTCTCCCATAATTGTCCCTGGTGGATTTTTAGAATACCAATTATAACCCTTTAACAAAAACAATTTTACAAAGGCACTTTTATAAAAGCAATTTTGTGAAAATTACTTTTACAAAAATAAAGTATTTTTACAAAGGCACTTCTATAAAAGTACTTTTTATGAAAGGACTTCTTTAATAGTACTTTTACGAAAGTACTTTTATGAAAGCACTTTTACAGAAGTACTTTTATAAAAGCACTTTTATAATATTACTTTTACAAAAGTACTTTTATGAACACACTTTTACAACTTTTACGAAAAAACTTACAAAAGCTCTTTTATGAAAGTACTTTTACAAAAGCACTTTTATAAAAGTATTTTATGAAAGCACTTTTATAAAAGTACTTTTACACAAAAACACTTTTATAAAAGCACTTTGGATTGGATGTTTTGAAAATTTGAAAGAAAATTAAGGACAAAAGAGTCACAATTGCTTATTTAAGTGCTTATTGGAGAAAAGGCCCCCAAACACCCAATATAAAACAATTGCTTATTTTTTTATAAAAGTACTTGAAAATAAGTGCTTATTCAAATAAGCACTTGTTTTTAACATAAGCACTCCTAAACATGGCCTAGATCTCTAACCCGACCAACCAAATTCTTTTCTAAGTGACTTTGGGGCTTTGCAAAAAGATGCGGGGCTCAACATCATTTAGACTTAGAGTGATTAGTGAAAGAGAAAATAAAAAAGCTTATTCAAAGCAAAGACTTACAAAAGATATTTATAACAGCTCCCTTCTATAAATACTATCAACACCTGGTTATTAACTTATTATAAATGTTTACAATCAATAGTTCAAAAGTAATGTGATGGCATGCTTAGAAAGGAAAATGATTAAACTTACCACCTGGCCAAAGGGAAGGAAACCAGGAATGCCTCCATTTTAGTGTAAAGTGTAGCTATCGGAGGACAATTGGGGGTAGGAGGTCTATAAATAGACGTGATAAACTGGCTGGTCTAAAAAATTTGATGTAATAGGCTGTATATAGTCCAAGGAGAATGATCAAAACTTGCCTAAAAATGGAAGAACCAAGAAAATGCAACTGAAGGAACTCAAAAGTAATGACCAGCCCTGAATGGGAGGAGGTAATGTTCCTGACATATTTGAACCATTCCCAGTCTGTGTCGTGGCTTCACGACTATGGTTACCCGGTTCAACAGCAACAGCAGGAGGCACTACAGTAGAGTTTCGAGTATTTACTATCGAAGTGTTGGAAACCTCGATGTCGTAACCTGGGGGACAAAAATAATAGTTCCTTGTTAGAATGGTAAAATTTTCATAATGGTTAAAGAGAAATCAATATGTGCAATCACAGAACAACACTTACAATTGGATTGCTTCCAACCCAATACCAGCTTCTCACGGTCAAATACTAAATGGTACCCAGTCATGAAGTTTTCTGCATGAAGATCAATATTGCAGCATAAGGCTATGAACTATTTCCAATGTATATATATGCACACAATATACATTAATGTGTTTGGCAGTATGTAAAAGCTCAAACATTGAGCCTACTACACCAACAATTAATAATATGGAGCAGAGATGCATATTACTGATTGATAATTATCAGTAAAAAAGGTGCATTATTTACAGAAGAAACAGAGACAAGAGGCTTGATAAAAATTCAATTAGGGCCTTGCACAGTTGGCAATAAAATGGATGGATGTGATAAGCAATTAGAAAAAATGTATAGTTTCCACATGGTACAGTGCACTGGTGGAGCTTTGAAAGCCAAAGATCTATATGCCACAGACTTACAAACAATGATATAAACTAGCTGCCTGAGCTAATGCCTCAATTGGATGAAGCCACAACCAGACAAAGCAACGATTTTGTCAAAATAGCCATGCAGGTGATTGCCTAGTTGTCAAGGTGATTGACCAGTGACTTGGGCAACTTTAGATAATCAAGAAATTCAAAATTTGACCTATGTCAATGTTGACTGGATCTAAAAGCTTCCAATACATATTTGCAAATTTTGCTTGTGCAAGTGTCTGGCTTGCCAACAACGATTTAGATCATGAAGCTGTTTTCTCTCAGGAGCCCCCCTAGAATTTTAGGTTCATAGTTTTTCTTGAATTTTATGGGAGTGTTCTCCCTTGTTGCTTGTAATTTCTCCCATTTGTATAAAAAAAGTACAACAATGCAATTTATGTCTGTGTATATCACCTTTATACTATAAGGGAATTAATAAGGCACTTCACACCATAGGGAGCTTTTCACCATTGCATTGGTTTTAAATGACACATACGACAATACAATATGTGGGATACAGGTTTTCAGTAGATTCCAATAATGATGCCCACAAAGTTTCCCTTATTTAGTTGCCGCCCGGGACAAAAAAGATAATCAATTTGCCTAGACTTTTGCCTGAAACACTAAGTGAATTCCTGGTTTAATACAGCCAACTGATCTTCCACAGCATTGCAAAACCCTTACGTGACTGAACTTGATATTTGAAAACAACCTCCTGGTTTCCATCCCCAAGCAATATTTTAAATCTCTTTAGTCCATACAAAATTCATAAACAGTATTTGTAAAGAAATACTTACGACCAATGATGTTCACATCCGGGCTCTTTACAACACCCAAACAATAATACAGTGCATCCTGCACATCATGAGAATAAAATTATATATTTTTTATAAGATTGCTGCAAGTTATTGTAGTATTGCAATAGAAAACCATGCCTTACTTTGGAAGAGACTACAACTATGGTATCAAGAACAGGAAACTGATTTCCACCTTTCATGGTTAGAGTTACATTAGGTACGATGATGCTTGTCGCATTCAAACTACATGTTCAGATAAAGAGTCAAAACTTGGACTGTTCAATATGGAAACCAGTTAAGTATTCAGATAAAAAGAACTTAGATGAATTACCTAATACTGTAGCAGTATTCAAATGGTATTTGGGGATCAGGTTGATTTCGTTTGTCTTGGGCCTGGGCGTTGAACTGTGAAAAGAGCAAAATGTTGCAGATGTAGTAATTAGAAAAGTGGCTGCAGGAATAATAATGAAATTCATCATCTGGAATACTTACACTCTCAGCAAGACGCGTGTAAACTGGATCAGTTAAGTATGTGAATGAAGTTCCTGAGTCAAAAATTGCACTCAAATTGATTTCGATGGCATCATTTTCAACAATTATCTGAGTCATTGTGATATTATATGTTGGGCTGGCCACAATTTCCAAGAGAACAAGTCAGAAAGTTATCGTGCTATTGGTGGATGTTAACATTAAACTGAAGTACACAAATACAAATCAAGTAAAAGACCACTCACTGTAACTGGTTAATTTCAAATGGAGTTTCTTCATGGTCTGTGCTACCTTTGTCTCCAAAAACGATTCTTCCAATACCATCTGTTCCAAAACACATGGAGAAAGAATTTGCAGTGAAGCCTGCACTTGATAAAATGCTTGGAACCGATAATTTATCCATACCAAGCCCAAACAAACCATTGGGGGCAGCACCAACCAGAAAAGAACCAGTCTGAACTTTACCACAACTGCATCATCCAAGTGACAATATTGGATCAGACACATTAGTAAGAAAGATACCAACATGGCCCAGTAATAATGGAAAGAAGTGAAGAAAAGGGATGTTAGATGTCTAAAACCAGTTAAGTGCAGTATGTAAACAAGGGAAAAAGCTCAGTGAATAAGAGATCTTCAATTAAGATTAGAACTTCTTGGTACAGTAAGAAAGGTCAACATTAATATATACATACCCAAATGTGATTGGTGCATCAACAAATTCTGGACGAATATTGTTTGTCGTCAAGTGCAAAATATCCTCCACCAAGTATCCAGCAGATGAAGTACCATTAGAAAGATATGAAACACTATAAGGGCAAACATTTGGTGTTCCAGAACATCTTTGACTTTCACACAAACTGCTGTTGCAGGAAACAATTTTGCTAGTTGTTGAAATATTTGGACCGTAAATGTTGAGATTTACCACCTGTCATAGTACAAGTTGATTAGGATAAACAATTATATGATTACAGAATTGTAAATTATAAAGAGTAAAAACATAGGAAAGATAAATTTTATAAGGTTTCTATTAGGATTCGGCCTGCCCTTGAATCCTATTAAGCTGATAATAGTCAAGAAGGAAGAGAAAGAGAGAGAGAGAAAGAAGAGAAGAGAAAAAAGGGAGAGAAAGAACTGGTTTGAATCAGAGAAAAAGATCACTCTCCCATTCGGCCAGATTTGATTTATATTACTTATATTGTGGAAAAGACACATGTGCCCCTACTTAAGTAAGGGACACTAAATCTAACATAATCTTACACATCAGCACATAAACATAAGTAYAAAGACAGAAATACCCCTACATATTCGACACTAGCACTCCCCCTCAAGCTGGAGAATATATATCATATAATCCCAACTTGTTACCTATGTAGTCCACTCTTCCCTGACTCAACCCTTTAGTAAACAAGTCTGCCCACTGGTTCCCTGTGTTAACATATGCAGTATCTATCACTCCACTTATCACCTTCTCTCTCACAAAGTGACAATCAACCTCTACGTGCTTGGTTCTCTCATGAAACACCGGATTAGAAGAAATATGAATTGCAGCCTGATTGTCACAGTAGAGCTTCATTGGAGTGTCAACAGTGTATCCCATCTCCTGTAGAAGGTTCTTCAGCCACACTAATTCACAAGTAGTATGTGTCATAGCTCTATATTCTGCCTCTGCACTGCTTCTTGCCACAACTGTCTGATTCTTACTTTTCCATGTCACCAGATTACCCCCAAGAAAAGTGCAATAGCCTGTGGTAGATCTCCTATCAGACATAGAACCGGCCCAATCAGCATTAGTATATCCTTCTATTTCAAGTTTTCCACCACTCTTGTATATCAAACCACGACCAGGAGCCCCCTTTAAATACCTCACAATCCTTAGAACCGCATCCCAATGTGGAACCAGAGGATTCTGCATGAACTGACTTACCACACTAACCGCAAATGAAATATCTGGCCGAGTAATGGTTAGGTAGTTCAGTTTGCCTACAAGCCGCCGGTATCTGCCAGGGTCTTCAAACACTTCACCCATATCGCTGCTCAGCTTAGTGTTTGTTTCCATAGGTGTTTCAGCTGGTTTAGCACCTAACAAACTTGTTTCTTCCAACAAATCAAGGACATATTTCCTTTGACACAAGTTAATACCATGCTTAGACCTTGTTACTTCTATCCCCAAGAAATATTTCAATTTACCAAGGTCCTTTGTTTGAAAATGTTCCTACAGAAAAGCCTTCAACCTATCAATGCTCATTTTATCATTTCTGGTAATAACAATATCATCTACATACAACACCAATAGGATCTTTCCTGCCTGAGAGTCATGACTAAAGACTGAATGGTCAACTTGACACTGTTTCATACCAAACTTCTTAACCACCTCACTGAACCTACCAAACCATGCTTGAGGAGACTGTTTAAGCCCATAAATGGCCTTCTTTAGTCTGCACACCTTACCGTCCTCCCCCTGAGCAACAAACCCTAGTGGTTGCTCCATATAGACCTCCTCGAGCAGATCACCATGCAAGAAAGCATTCTTGATATCAAGCTGATAGATGGGTCAATCATACATAGCAGCAAGAGAGATCACAACACGAATTGAACCAATCTTCGCAACCGGGGAGAAGGTCTTTGTATAGTCAATACCGTAGGTTTGGGAGTACCCTTTGGCAACCAGTCTAGCTTTCAACTGCTCTACACCACCATCAAGTAAGCACTTAATAGTATAAACCCACTTACAACCGACAACCTGCTTACCAGGAGGAAGAGGAGTAAGGTCCCATGTATGATTATGAGTTAAAGTTGAGAGTTCTTCTTCCATTGCACGGCGCCATCCTGGAGAGGCAAGGGCTTCCTGGACATCCTTAGGGACAACAACAGAGGACAACAAGGAGATAAACTGGCGATGGGAAGTAGAAAGGTGAGTGAGAGAAACATAATCAGAAATAGGGTGAAGGGTACAACTGCGTTTACCTTTCCGCACAACAATGGGAAGATTAAGGTCAGATACTGGGGGTGGGGCTGGTGTGGTGACAACTACCGGATCTATCGACGATGATGGAGATGGAGGAGGAGCCGGTACATGTGGGTGATGTGTATACACTTGACGGATAGGTGGTCGTTCAATAGGCGGTGGCATCGGAGGCAAGGACTTGGTTACAGTTGGAACAAGAGGAATGGAATCCACAACTGGAAGAGGAAGGGGAGGAGGAAGAAACATCACCAGACCCCAAGAAAAAAGGAGTAGACTCAAAGAAGGTAACATCAGCACACACAAAGGAACGTCGAGAGCTAGGATGATAACATTTATACCCTTTCTGAGTTCGGGAATAACCAAGGAAGATGCACTTAATGGATCGTACATCTAACTTGTTCCTTCCTAGCCCCAGATTATAGACAAAGTAGACACACCCAAAAACCCGAGGAGAAAGAGGAAATGGAGACAAGGTAGGAAACAAAGTGGTGAATGGAGAATGACCATCAAGGATAGACGTGGGCATCCGGTTAATCAAGAAGCAAGAAGTAAGCACCGCATCACTTCAAAAGGGTTTGGGAACATTCATGTGATGCATGAGAGATCAAGCTGTTTCCAAAAGATGACGATTCTTTCTCTCAGCTACTCCATTTTGTTGTGGGGTGTAGGTACATGAAGTCTGATGGATAATGCCATGTTGGTCCAAGTATTCTTGAAATGATGAAGAAAAATATTCACGGCCATTATCGGAACGAAAAATTTTAATGTGAACACCAAATTGGTTGCAAATCTCAGCATAAAATTTTTGGAAAATGATAAATAGAGCCACGTCATCCTTGAATAATCATCGACAAAAATGACAAAATATCTATATCCATTGTATGACATTATTTTATAAGGACCCCAAGCATCTGAATGAACCAAAGAAAAATGACTCGACATACAGTTATCAACCCTAGGACTAAAGGGAACACGATGATGTTTCCCCAACTGACACGACTCACAATCCAAAACAGAAAGATGACTCAACGAAGGAACCAAAGACTTCAAAACTTTCAGTGAAGGATGACCAAATCGACAGTGCCACTAGAGAGGAGAGAGAGATGACTGGAGAGCTGTTGACGTTCTTCCACCACCGTCAAGATAATACAATCCACCGGCTTCATGCCTTCCACCAATCTTCATCCCCGTCTTGAGATCCTGAAAAACACATGAAGAAGGGTAAAAAGTAATAGAGCAATTAAGAGACTTTGTCAACTTACTAACTGACATAAGGTTAAACGGAAACTTAGGGACATACAGAACTGAGGATAAAGGTAAGGAGATCATGTTAACATTGCCAACACCACAAATGGAGGATGTTGAGCCATTAACAAGGGTGACGGATTGCTATGTTGAGCAATGAGAGAAGGAAGAAAACATACATGGAGTTTCAGTCATGTGATCGGAGGCTCCAGAGTCAATAATCCAGGGATTGGGTGTGGATGGCAGACAAGCCATACTTGAGTGTGTGAGTGGTCGTGTTCTGTTGAGATGTGGCCTGAACAAACTTCTCATACTCATCACGGGGAATACTCATCATCTCCGTCTCGGGAACATCTGTGGATGTAGGAAGCATCTAATCAACTGAACAACTCTCCTGTCTGAAGCTACTGTCACTAGTCATGGCATGATTGGTCCAAGTTGAAGGTGGACCATGCAAGTCATAGCAGTAATTAATGATATGTCCATCCATACCACAGTGTGTACACCTCCTCGGACCCGAAATACGTCCTCGTCCATGGGCTCCCCCTGAATCTCTACCTCCAGTACAACCACCACCATGGTTATAGGTAGGTCCACCACCACCATTCCGGCCATATACTGGTCCACTGCTATCACTACGGCCAGATTGAGCTCCTCGAGCTCCACCTCTAACACCACGACCCCTCGATACTGCAAAGGCTGATCTATCAGAAACACTAGTGTTCTCGGTAAATCCAATGGAAATCCTCCTAAGTCGAGCAAACACTTCTTCTAAGGAAGGGAGAGCTGATCCTCCTAGTATCTGGGCCCACACTTGTTCATACTCAGACTCCAGTCCCACCAAAAATCGAGTTACATCAAGTTGTTCTCTCTGTTGTTGCTGAATTTTGACATCAGAAGTGAGGGGGTGATAAACATTCAACTCATTATGGATGTTTCTCATATTAGCATGGTACTCCTCAAGACTCTGATTACCCTGTTGTAGATTAAAGTATTCCTGATACAGCTGATATACTCTGGTTGTATTGTCTTGACCCGAATACAACTTCTTAGCATGATCCCACACTTCTTTGGCAGTGTCAAGAAACATGAAGTTTACACTAATCTTGGGTTCCATATTGTTCCAAAACCATGTGATAATCTGTGCATCTTCTTATTCCCAGTCATCATACTCATGAGAATCGGTGGAGGGTTTTTCTTCCCTTATGTGTTTCACCTTCTTCTTTGCCTTAAGAAAAACTTCTACAGATTTAGCCCAGGGTACATAATTCTCTCCATTCAGTTAAATGGACGTCATTTGAACATTCAGGTAGTCAGTAGGGACCATCACATTAGTCTTGCTATCACTGTTGTCTCCCATAGCTGAATTCTGATATTGCTAAATTCGGCACACTGCACACTAGACCACACCACACACTGAACACATTGGTTTCAGCACTTAGTACTGCTGAAAATTGCACTCTTTACACCACAAACCCTACCCCACGACTACCTGAACACTCACCACACTGTTTGAGGACCACTCCCCTTTCGAATCATACTGAAAGAAAACATAAACCCTAGCACACTATAATCTGAAATCCCACCATACAATCTGAAACAGACTTATGATTTGATTCACAACATGAAATTGCATAGAAATCTCTTACCTAATCACCCGAAAATCAGACCACACAAGACATCCACTGCACCACACGAATCAACCCTCTTCTCTTCATTGATTAGAGGAGGGCTTCTTAGAAACCACAGCAACCAACCACAGATAGCACAACTGGAGGCATAGAAACCTCCAAGGGAAGAGAGTGACCACTCCTTTTCAGCCCTTTCCCTTATCTCCAACAGATGGCGAAGAAACCGAGAGAAAACCCTAAACTAGGTGCGCAGAGAATAGAATTCTGGGCAGGTCTAATTTGCTCAGTTTGGCTCTGATACCATATTAGGATTCGGCCTGCCCTTGAATCCTATTAAGCTGATAACAGTCAAGAAGAAGGAAGAGAAAGAGAGAGAGAGAAAGAAGAAGAAGAGAAGAGAAGAAAGGGAGAGAAAGAACTAGTTTGAATGAGAGAAAAAGATCATTCTCCCATTCGGCCAGAATTGATTTATATTACTTATATTATGGAAAAGACACATGTGCCCCTACTTAAGTAAGGGACACTAAATCTAACATAATCTTACACATCAGCACATAAACATAAGTATAAAGACAGAAATACCCCTACATATTGGACACTAACAGTTTCTTTGACACAATTTAACAAAACACTTGAGATATGATGTGAAAAAAGAAAAGGGTAAAACAGTTATAAGGTAGCATCTTATGCAAACTCAAATTTAAACAATTTGGCACAACTTCAAGACCATGAACAGAATCAAAATTTTGAGCTAACACTTTTTTTTGATAAGTAACATTTTGAGCTAAAATTACTACTTTCTTAAGGCACTTAGGTCTTTAGCATCAATTTCATTGTTAAGACTTACAGATGAAGCCTTTAGAAGTCATCACTGTTTACTCCCATGGTTATGTCTCCAGAATTATGCATCAGTGATTCAGCATTAGAATATGATTTCATGGCTATCTCAGGTATACATGGAGAATAACCACCATGTACAACATGTTCTCAAACCCTTAAAGATGTGTGTCAATCTAGTGCTTAATGACTTAAATCATATATATATATATATATATATATATATATATATATATTTCTGCTTCTACCAACGATTTGGGAGTTGGCTAAGGGTGCTGACGATTCGGTTACCCAAACCGTGAGTTATTTTTGAAACCAAACTGGTACCCAGAGGTTTTTTAAAAACCTTGAACCAAAATCAAACCAAAACCAACCGATTAACCAGTTGATCGGTTCATTTTTTGACTGGTTCGGTTCTTKGGTTTTTATATTTTCAATATATATTATAAAAATATATAATATAAGTACTATAAATATATAAATAATATATAATATATAAATATGTATATTATATT